CTATGAGTTGGTTCCGACTCGATGGCACCTGACAGCAACAACAATGTTTATAAATATGTCTATAATTTAGTCCATATTAGGACCATTAATGAATATTCTCAAGGAAAGCAGTTTCTGGTCTCCAAGTTTAGCTATAAAATGTTGAACTCTCAGGGTCTAGTTTTATCTCCATACACATTTATTCCACATACACTACCTGTAGAGTCTGCTTAAATATTCTCTATTACTAATTAAAACGTTACTGAGCAAGTGACTAGTAAAGTTCACCAATACCAATTCAAACCACCACAATTTTAGAACCATGGCTAAAATGTCAAAATCCCCTTTCCAGAATAAAACAAGAGACAAATTATTTTTGGTAAACAGTAGTATTTATTAAATTATAAATTTTGTCACCAAAAAGAAATGTGGGTCAAGGGAAAAACCTTAAACTACGAGGACTTAGCAAAGGCTATGGAAACACAATGAAGTGTGTTACAGAGAAGATTCTGGAACATATTTGCTGTTTTGTTTACATATCCATTTCTGAAACTACAAAATGGTTGTTATTCTATTTTAAAATTCCAAATTCACATGTATTCTCACATTAATTCGCGTCCTGCTCATACTGATACCAGACATCTCATAGGCGTCCAATTTTAGTAATGATTTTGTCAATCCATGCAGAAAAATAAGACAATGCAAGAATCGATGAGGACTGTTAATGCACAGGTAATATACACACTGGCCAAAAGAACTAAAGAAATTAAGTAAAAAACTATAAACAGACCTCAAGAAAACTTGGTTATTACTAAACAGTTATCAACTATTCACACCCAAGTCCCTTACATTAAATAAATCTCTCATCAGAGATGTGTTAGACATTTTAATTACAGGTTATCCTTCCCATACCCCTTTCCCACCCCCACAATGCACTACTAGGGATGAGTATAATGCTACGTCAGCAGAAATTTACAGGGAACCATTCCAACCTTGAGCATGGGCTGAAGACTTTTATTTAAACTTCAGTTATTGTGCACTGTCCATCAGGTCTTCTAGATCTGACACTGACTGTTCCACCCCCTGCTACTGATCCATCAGTCCCAGATCGATCTGATACTGTCTGATTTGCATTAGAAACCAAAAGTCTCTGTTGGGTCAGAGAGTGCTGTGCCACAAGTGCAGATACATCTTCACTATCACTACTGGCATCTGATTCAGTTTCTTCGATGGAGGTATCTGGTGCTGGTACCCTGCCTGAAGATAGTGATTCATGATCTTCTCCTTCCCCTCTGTGACTCCTTTCAGCTGTGCTGTCTCCACTGAGCTGTAAATGAGCAAGAGAGTCTTCCAGAGAAGTGCTTGCATCAGGGGATGGTGTTGCAGGGCTTGTTAACTGACCATCTACTGACGTGAGGGGCCTCACAGAAGATGACACTAGAGGCTGGACAGAAGTTCCATTCTGTGCTGATACATTGTCCGCTCCATCAGCAGAGCTCTCTCGTGCTAGGTTTACAGTAGTAGAGTCACAGTCCAGCCTAAGTCCGGCTACTCCCTTCTTTGGTATATCAATTATGTCCCGTTTAATCTTCCTGCGACGTCCATGTTCATTTCTCCTATACTGAACCATATTTTCAAGATCAGCAACATATAGAAACCTAGCAATTAACATTTCAGTGCTCTTTTTACCTTTGGAAAAAGCATCTTCCAGCTCTCTACTAGTGCGTTCATCATACTGCCACCACCCATTTCTTCCTTCGTAATACCATGCATATTCTCCGTTTCCTCTACTAGCCGCCTTGAGTTCTTCAGGTGATAACAAAGTTGGCTTGTCAAGGAAATCCTCAGGAATTTCTTGTCGACAGAGGGCACAGCGTTTTCCAAGCCATGACGCTCCCTTTACACACAGATAGCAGAAAACATGCTTACAAGGCAGACTAACTGGGTGGACACATGTCTGCAGACAAATGGCACATTCAGGGACAGTTAGAGAAGGTGCAGTATTAGAACAGGGCTCATTTGTTTTCCTGTTTGTGGGAAGCATGTTTACTGAGTGATCAATTTCACCACAGCCAGCCATCCTAAGAAAATAAACAGAAAATACATGTAAATATTAAAATTGTGTTTTAACTCTCTTAAATACCTTAAATTAGCAATTTAGAAAATATATTTCAAGCACCTATTATATGTGAACCACCACACTAGACAATGGTGATACACAGATGAAAGCGGGGGAAAAAGGGCCTCTTGCTTCATCTGTGTAGAACATCTTTTTTATTTTGGCTTGTGTATCATTTAATTTTTACTTATGGAAAGCATTGAGGCACATAAATGTCAAACAATAATACAATCAAGCCATAGTTTTTACATACAACACTTCTATTTACAGAATTTATAAAATAGAACTAATTACAAAGTTTAAAAATATACAGAGTCTACTCTAGACTGATGTGATGGGTCAGTCTAGAAAGCAGATAAACAGAAAATGGCCCAAAGTGGCCCTGCTTACAGAAAGTAACCATTTTGTAACCTTTTAACTGTACAAATATTTAAAAATATATACATTAATATATGTTTGAGGGAACAAAGATGAGCCTTTCAGCTCTTACAAAGATTTATAAATTGGAAACCCTATATAAGGCTACTATAAGTCAGATCCCACTCGATGGCACTTAACAATAAATAATATAACAAATACACCATATTAAATTAATACTAAAACTGAAATCCCAGAAATTTTTTATCTTTGTTATGTGTCTAACAACACTGGTGAAACCAATAGTTTGACATAATTGATCATAGTTTATACTTCTGGATAGATCTTGAAATGTTCTTTTTTAATGAACGTAAGGCAATTTCTCTTCATTTTGTCATTACCAGCCTAACAGGTCAAATGACTGTCTTCACTCAAAATGGCTAATATCAGGCCACTTCAGCTCACTAATGCCTAAGGTACTGATCTTTTATGCATTACATTTCATTTTTGACAATTTTCAATTTTCCTAGATTTATACTTCGTACATTCCATGTTCCATTTATCAATGGATATATAGAGCTGTTTCTTTTCATTTGAGACCTGGCACATCAGTAAATGAAGGTTCCTTCCCTAGTCCTATTCTTAGTGGTTTCCAATTTGTGGGGCTCGTATTCTGACACTCTATCAGACAATTCACTGGTGCTATTCATAAGGTGGCTCATTTTTCACAAGTAGGGTATCTCTTCCTTTTTCCATTTCTGTCTTAGTCTGGAAGCTCCACTAAAGCCTGCCCACTACTGGGGGGGTGACCCTGCTTGTACTTGAAATAGCAGCACAGCTTCCAGCTTCACATCACAGCACCATGCAAGCTACCCCAGGCCAACACACTGATAGACAAGTGGCAGAGAATTACTGTGACTCAGCAATCCCATTCCTAGGTATGTACCCCAAAATAATGAAAACAAGGACTCAAGCACCAGCGTTCACAGCAGCATTCACAATAGCCAAAAGGTGGAAACAACCCATGTCCAACCACAGATAAATGAATAAACAAAAGGGTGTATTTCTATACAATGAAATATTAATCAGTCCTAAAGAGAAATGCAGTGTTGATATATACAATGATAATGAAAAACCATTAAAACATTAAGCTAAGTGAAATAAACCAGAGACAAAATAGACAAAAGTTACACTAATATGACATCTCTGTTGTTGTTGTTGTTAAGTGCCATCGAGTCGGGTCCGACCCATAGCGACCCTGTACAGGGTTTCTGAGGGTGTAAATCTTTACGGGAGTAGAAAGCCTCATCTTTCTCCCGCGGAGCGGCTGGTAGTTTCGAACCGCTGACCCTAAGGTTCGCAGCCCGATTCGTAACCACTACGCTACCAGAGCTCCTTAATATGACATCTCTAGAATAGGCAAATACATAGAGACAAATGAACAGTAGCTTTGAGATTAAGAGGGTCTGTGACAGGAGGAAGAAATGAGGGCTTACTGCTTAACGGGAAGTTTCTATATAGGAAATGAAAAAGATGCTTGTTAACGGAATTAAACTCATTTTTCTTTTACTGGAAAAAGCTATGTACAGGCCAATCTAGGAAAATAATACAACTCACAGATTGGTTCTGAGGGACTGGCTACCTAGTTTTAAGTCATCAGAGGCTATAATAAAATCTCATGATAACTTCAAGTATCTGGTAACAAAAAGAAAATTAGATGTAAAATGGGACAACAATTAAGATGTATAAATAACCTTCCATTCCCTAGAACTTAGGACAAAGAAATGGTAAATAAAATTATTGAAAATCCTTTAAAAATGTATATATATTTATTTAAAGCCCCAATTAATAAGAAGAGACTAAGGAAGTCAGACACCTTTAAGCAATAATGTTTGATTCTAGTTATAAGACAGAGTATAAAAGGATGAACTAGCGTTCATAACTACTAAAAGAAAATGAAATGATCCCAGTAATAATTTTTCTTGATAATTAGGGAAATGTAGTCCTGGTGTGGCACTGTGGGTTAATGTGCCAGACTGCAAAGCCGTTTAAACTGCAAGGTTGGCAGTTCAAGTTCACCAGCTGCTCCTCGGAAACACGTACCATACAGGGTCGCTATGGGTCAGAACCGACTCGACAGCAATTCACAACAACAATACTTTATCACACACGTTTTTTTAAATTCTCTGTATGAGATCTACTCCCCGTCTGTCAGTTTGTCGTACTGCGGTGGCTTGCATACGTTGTTGTGATTCCAGAAGCTCTGCCATGGGTATTTTAAGTACCAGCAGGGTCACCCATGGTGAACAGGTTTCAGCTGAGCTTCCAGACTAAGATAGACTACAAAAGACAGACGGATTACTTGTGACTCTTTAGTCACTGAAAACCTTAGCAATGGAACACTGTCAGCTCCAGAATGTTGAATTCTAAAACATGATGAAGAGCACCAAAATATTGTCAAATATAGTACCGGACGATGAGCCCCTCAGGTTGGAAGACACTCAAAATATGACTGGGGAAGAGCTGCTTCCTCAAAGTAGAATTGACCATGATGACACAGATGGAGTAAAAGCCTTTGGGGCTTTCATTTGTTGATGAAGGGAAACAGATGTAAATACCCATTAATAACTGGAACATGAATCGTATGAAGCATGAATCTAGGAAAACTGGAAATTGTAAAAAAATTAAATGGAACACATAAACATCAAGATCTTAGACATCAGTGACATGAAATGGACTGATATTGGCCATTTTGAATCTGATAATTACATGGTTTACTATGCCAGGAATACATTCATCATCAAAAAAATGTATCAAGATCTGTCTTTAAGTACACCACTGTCTGTGATAGGATAATATCCATACATCTACAAGAAAGACCAGTTAATACCACTATTTAAATTTACACACAAACCACTAAAGCCAGGCATGATGAAACTGAAAAATTCTACCAACTTCTTTAGTCTGAAATTAATGAAACATGCAGTCAAGATGTACTGATAATTACTTGCAATTGGAATGCAAAGGCTGGAAACAAAGAGGAAGGATCAGTAGTTGGAAAACAATGTTGAAGATCACATGACAGAATTTTGTAAGACCAGTAACATTTTTATTGCAAATACCTTTTTTAAACAACATAAGACTGACTACTATGTACATGAACTCACCACATGGAATAGAGAGATATCAAATTGACTACCGCCATGAAAAAAAACAGTAGAAAAGCTCCATATCATCAACCCAAACAAGGCCAAGGGTAGACTGTGGAAACTGTAGATAGATCAAGAGGCAGTTGTTTGAACAGAACAAGGGGAATGACTGGTTTCAAATTAGGAAATGTGTGCAACAGAGTTGTATTCTTTCACCATACTTATTCAATCTGTACATTGAGCAAATAATCTAAGAAGCAGGATTATATGAAGAAAAGTATGGCATTAGGATTGGAGGAAGACTCATTAACAACCTGCGATATGCAAATGATACAACCTTGCTTGCTGAAATCCAAAAGAACTTTAAATACTTACTGATGAAGAACAAAGACCACAGCCTTCATTATGGGTTTCACTTCCATGTAAAAAAAAAAACAACAAATATCCTCACCACTGGATTAATAAATAACATCCATATAAATGGAGAAAAGACTGAAGTTGTCAAAGGCGTCATTTTACTTGGATCAACCCATCAACACTCACATAAGCAGCAGTCAAGCAATCAAAGGACATATTGCATTAGACAAAATCTGTTGCACAAAACCTTTTGAAAGTGTTGAAGAGTAAAGATGTCAGCTTGAGGACTAAGGTGTGCCTGACCCAAGCCATGGTATTTTCAGTAACCTCATATGCATGTGAAAGTTGGACTGTGAATGAGGAAGACCATAGAAGAATTGATGAGTTTGAGTTATGGTGTTAGAGGAGAATATTAAAAGTACCACGGACTGCCCTACGATTTGTGTTGGAAAAAGTATAGCTAGAATGCTCCTTAGAAGCCAGGATGGTTGGACTTTGTTTCTCATACTTTGGATTATTGTCAGGAGGGACCAGTCATCGGAAAAGGTTATCATATTTGGTCAAGTGGACGGTCAGAGAAAAAGAGGAAGACCCCCAATGAGATGGATTGGCACAGTGACTCCAGCAATGGGCTCAGGCATAGAATGATTGTGAGGTTGGTGCGTGACTGAGCAGTGTTTTGTTCTGCTGTGTATAGGGTCAATATGAGTCAGTACAAACTTGATGGCACCTAACAATAACAGTATCAAATAATCTTGGGGCTGAGAGTCTAAGGTCCTTGCCATTGAGATTCTAAGACTAAGTAAAATCATGTAACCAGGGCTCCTCTCAGGATAGGCAGGAAATAATCAAATGTTGGAAGTACATTTCAGAGCAATTAAAGATAATTAACATAATTAGCATCTCTTGTATTACTGTTTGTTTTACTAGGATTATTATTTTTTTAAAGTTATATTAAAATTCAAGCTTCTGACATGAGGGTAAGTGAAAAGATACTGCTACAAAACTCATAGAAACCTTTATTAAACAACACCAATATGAGAAGTGTTTTGGACACAGCCTCCACCTAGGTCTACACACTTCTAAACCCGGTGTTTACAGCTAACCCTTCTCAGAATTCGGTGCTCTTTTTCACACCATGCCAAAAT